TCTGCATTAAATTTTGAAATTAAAAAGTGTGACTCCAGTTTTTTTCAAGAATATTAAAACTATTCTGTGTCCTTTGAATGTTCATATGAATTCAAAATTTTTTTAAAAAATCAGCTTCCTAATTTCTACAAAATAAGCAGCTAGAATTTTGATAGGGGTTGTACTGAACCTTGAAAGAACAAGGTCATTGGGGTTCTGACTGTCCTAGATTCCGTAGGAAGCCTATAGCCAGGGAATCCTCTGACCTTCTGGGCATAGCAATCAAAGATTGACGGAGCCTTGGGTCCTTGTCCCTGGCCAGCCGTAACAATTAATAAACAAGCACCCAGGGTGCGGATTCAGGTGGATGGGCGCAAGGTTGACTTTCTCCTTGACACCAGGGCTACTTTCTCAGTCCTGACAGAATTCTGGGGGCAAACAGTGCCGTCCACCTCTCCTATTGTCGGGGTAGGAGGAAGGACCATCTATCCAAAAAAGATTCCCCTATTACTCTGTTCCATAGACAACTTCCCATTCTCTCAGACGTTTGTAGTTATGCCCCAATGTCCAGCTCCTTTGCTCGGCCGACATATTCTCTCTAAATTTAATACAACAATCAACATCCGGGCTCCTGGCATCAGTCAGGCCCCAGAATCGGCCTGTTCATCTTTTCTGGCCCTTTTGGCAGATGACTGGCCATTCTGCCCCACTTGWGAGACTGACATGAAAAAGGACCCCTTCCTTATGAATCTGGTTGACCCAATTGTATGGGATACCCAGACCCCCTCCACCATTTCCTGCCCACCAGTTAACATTCATCTCAAAGATCCTAACACCTTCCCCAATAAGGCTCAATATCCCCTGTCCACAAAAGCTCTTCTGGGCCTACAACCTATTATTCAGGACCTTCTTAGCAAGGGGTACCTCCGTTCTGCTCATTCCCCTTACAATACTCTCATACTATCGGTAAAAAAGCCCAACGGGTCCTACCGCTTAGTTCAGGACTTATGACTCATCAACAACCCCGTTAGGCCCATACATCCTTTGGTTCCCAACCCATACACCCTGCTGTCTCAGATCCCTCACACTGCCACCCACTTCTTGGTCATAGATTTAA